TTTTTTTTTTTTCATTCATTTATCACTGCGTGTAGGGCGCAGATTCTCCCACCCGAACTCTTATCTCTTGCATATTTCATATTGCGCCTGCTGTATCGTATGATACCTGATTGCAATCAATTGTGCTGCATGCATACCTTATTATCGCTATCCTATTTGTTCACTCAATATGGCTGTGTGGCAATTGGCGGAGGAGCGTTTTAGCTCCCCTTGTTATAGGTTTTGCTTTTTCCCTCTACCAACTTGGTCTGCTTTTAGTCCTAAAACCTGACTAATTCCCCTTTTCAGAGCTGCGTTGCCATGACCGAGATACCTGTTTTACTGATCCCACTGCTTATCCAGATTCAATGCTCATATTACAGTTTTGAATGTCATGTAGCTTTGAGATTTGTTAATTTCTCCATTTTCGAAAGGTATTTGCCTGCCTCTTGCAATGATGTGGTTTCCAACCTGGCAACTAGTCGGTAATTTAAAATACGCGGCGTTTGTAGATGAGCTACAAAGTCGTAGGTTATCCTAATGTGTGCCCTTTTCCGTTTTCGCTGCTTCCTGAACAATCATCTAGCATATTTTTCATACGGGATTTCTCTTTTTAATCGGCCAAACCGCTCCGTAGGCTATCATTTTGGTTTTGTGAGCTAAAAGAGCTGGCTTTCACTTACTAGATGGTGAATAGCATCGCTCGACGCGCTTGAAACAGATTTCGTGAGAAGTAAGGTGAAAGTATGGATCCTAGAATGGAAGTGAAAATCTTCTTATCATCTTTTTATTGTCGAGTTAGTTTCGTGGACATGTGTATGAATTTGAAGATGTTGATAAGTACAGGCATTATACACCAACTTGCCACCTTATGCTTGGAAATCAGGCATCCATACTTGCAATACACAGTTGCAAGACTACTTTTATTGTTGTGATAAAATGCATTGGTAATTCTCATTAATCTGTTCTACCTTCGCCATTGCCAATGTTGCTATCCAGTATTTTCTCATAGTAATTTTTTTATGCCTCTGGCAGAAAACTGTTCCATCTCTCCGGATGATGCACGAAACAGCATAATTGGACTGGCGCGGGATCTGGCTGGCGTAGCATTCAGTCTCAACACCATGGCAGCATTTCAGCACTTTCTGGACTGGTTCTATCCCTCCCTTTTCAGTCTTTTTGGTCGCGCACTAGAACTTTGGCCCTTTGATCCGCTGGTTAACTGCCCCGTGCTTAAACTTCTTGCAGAAATTGTGCATAATCGGAATGATCGACTGAAGTTTGATGGTACTCTACCCATGGGGTATTTACTGCTTGCAGAGATGACTAAAATTCTCATCAACTTTGGTAAGGAAATCCCTGACTGTTTTCCTTTGTCCCCCATCTCCTTTTTGTCACTTATGAATTTGCTTGGCATTCAGGTGCTCAGTTGATACCCTTCTGCAGTCAAGTGACCGAAGATAATCTTTATTCACACAAGGTGAAGCCCCTCACACGCTGCTTGAATGCCTTACGAATTACGCTGAGTGGAAAGTATGCCAACTTTGCAATATTTGGCCTTGTTGGAGATGACTCGTTTGAGAAGACTGTCAAGTTGAGTGCTGACATACTATTATGTGTCACGGAGGAAGAGTTGAGGGTTAGTGCATTTGATTGACTCTCCTGTGATCAACTTCTCTAAATCCTTGAGTTTGCATCACTTAGCCATCCAGTTTGACCGCTACGGATACCGTCGCGTCACTGCATATAAATGGGAATTCCCGGCTTTGCAGCAGAGATCAAATTTAACGAAGTGCTAAATTATCTTCATTCTCTCCCATGTTTTATATTGTTGTAGCTCCACATTTGCTATCCTCAGTTTGACTTTGCAATATCTGCTAGTGTTTTTGAAGTCTCCTAAGGGGATAAACTTCTCCAGGTCTAGGCTCAATCTAATCTTTGGTGTTTCAGGGATTCATCAAGCTCAGCAAAGCCTACTTTGCATTGCTTGAATGCCTCACACAAAGCCACATGACACTGATAAGTTCGTTGGACTCCTCCGTCATTCGTCGTTTTTTCAACGCCATCGTGATAGGCGTCGACTCTCTTGGTAAGTCAAATTGAAGTGAGTTTGAATATGTGCCTGCTTGGACATTTTAATGCCCTTCCTTTTAATTTCTTTAGATGCTTCGATATCATGGAGCGCCTGCGCCTGTCTTGACTACATCTTAACGCACATCTATAAGGTATCAAATACTCTTTCATCCTCACAAAGTAACGATGCCAACGATGTCACCGCCAATAGTAACAACACCAACGATAACGTAATGCTCAAAGACTCAGAATATCCTCTCTTTGTTCCTACCCCACCTACCTCATTGCCCACGTCAGAAATCGCTCAGGCCGCGCGTCAACGTCTCACAGCCCGCATGGCCGGGGCGGTGCCCAGCAGAGGTTGCTGCTCCGCTCTGGCCATCTGGTCGGACCGTGAAGTAGCAGCTAACGCTAACTTACAACAAAATTTTATCAGTCATACTGGCAATGCCTTTGGAGGGGTCAGTGAGTTTACTATGGCCTCACGACAGCTGATTGTCACTTTCCTGTCCTCTTTTATGAATGAGGAGTGCAAGAATCAATGGAGCGTCTCTAGACCCCTATTGGCTCTGATCCTTCTCAATCAGGATGTACGTCATTGCCAATATATGCTTTTTCAATGTGAACTATTGCGTATAGTATTGGTTTACTTCACATTTGGGCATCTAAATTGACTTTATCAGGTGACATTAGCTAAGAAAATTCATTATAATTGGAAATGTGTATGTTATGTACTGTTCAAGTCCCCTTCGAGAGCACCCAGCATGCTTAGTTAGTGAAAGGCCAGCACTTGAGACACAGCGCTTCTCTTGCGTGTAGTCTTTGTTATTCCTTGCTGTCCACCGTCTGCATCAAAACCTTGAAAATCAACAGTCAATTACGTCAGAATCATCAATTGCTTTGATTAAATGTGCTTTGCACAGTCAGATTTGACATTCTGCACAATGTTCCATGTTATGCTGACCTTTTGTCTCGACACTGCCTGCCCACTTGCCTATTTTGTCATGAATGTGTTTATGCAATTGTCGAGTAGTAAGATCTGAATTAGCTTTATCAGGTGAGTCCGAAGAACGAAAATGAAGGAGTTCTCCGCCTCATTTGTTTGAGTGATGCCAAACCTGGCCATGTCTCTCAGAGCATCGTACATTGTGTTGTAGTGTGGACGGATCTCGACGAGATTTGTCAAAGGGTATTCGACAGATGAGTGATCACTAATTAAAAATTGTATCCGTTATCGCACCTTCCAAAGACCTGCCAGTTGTGGCGCTACTTTGGTGCTTTTTGAAGATATCAGGCAATGTTAGTCTCCTACTGTATTTTTAGTACTTTGCAAATCTCCAACGACTTGTCCTGAACGCTGTGAGTCCACACCAACGGCCCGAACTGGAGGGCATCTTCAGAAAACTAATGGAAAACGTGGATAACAATCTATATGCCAAAAATCGTGATAAGTAGGTTTTATTGCTAATCAGGGGCACACTAGATTCCCTTGTGCGCTTTTGTGTGAATAGATTTAGTGACGGTGTGTGTGTGTGTGCGTGTGGTCTAGATTCACACAGAACATATCAGTCTTCCGGCACGCGTTGATGGAATTCATGAAGACGGTTAGTGTGAAACTTATGGGAAACCAGCAAGCAACTGCGGCTAACTACGACACCAGCGAGATGTTCTCCCTCCGTTCTATCCTCCTCTCTAGTGCAGCCTCTCTCTGATAATAATGCAGTCGCGCCCCTTCACCTCTCCCGTCCTTTTTTCTCCTTTTTACGTGGATAAAATCACTTCCATATCTTAACTGGGAAACAGAGTGTGCGTTTTGCCTACTGTATTTTTGAAAGAACGAATTGAAATTTATGTATTCCTCTTCCCCTCCTTGCGTTGAGAAGTAATGGATCATGATTTATTAAACGTTCGCCTGCCTTCATGTGATATATAAAGAGTGTTTTGCTCTCTCGCTCTCTCTCTCTCTTCACCCATTATCTCATCAAACGGTTAATTCAATTGACACCGGGATGCCAGTCAATTCAAGCACTACTTACGCCTGACTGGCAAATGAAGACTTGCGGGGTGAGATTAAATAGAGGTTGTCTTGCCATGTAGGCGGGTAATTGTGTCGCGGTTATTGTTGCTTCTTTTGCACCGAATGACTAGTCATTATTGCTGATCGAACGCCAATAGAGGTGATTTTCATGGTATACGTCAAAGGCCTGTACACCTATAGCCCGGCCTCAACCGTTTACATCAGTTGGATGTCCCGCTGCTCAGCCTTGCATTCCCTTTTGGTCCATCATTTCGAAAGGCACGACGCCTCGGCTGTATGCCGCAGCATGTTTTGTCTGGGCCAACTCGCTACATGGTGAGAGCCCCATTCCCATCCAAACGCTAAAGTAGGATTGTTGCATTTACTGAAACAAGTAATTTGTAGCCATTGAGAGGATTTATTTGCTTGCAGCCATGTACCTACATTCTTTGGCAAGTAGTTCTCTCTAGTAGGTTATCCACTTGTGCGACTTCATTGGAATTACGCACTTGGTTACTACTACTGTCCGCCGGTGACTGTTTTGCAACCCTAGTTAGAATTTCTTATTTCCTGACTTCATTCTTGCAATAAATAAAGGCAGTAAAAATGAATCTAAAAAAAATTGAGGCATGAAATGATAAGCCTAGTTGTTGTGAGCTTACGCACGAGGAGCTGAGAAGTCATTGCAATGACAACGTGAAAGTCGAATGTCTCAGGCGATCAAGAGTTGCAGTCGTTATAGGCTTGAACGCAACCTCTTTTAGGCCATTTTCAACTTGGTCTCCGTGACTGTTTGGGTTTCTGGTCGACTTCAGCGTTGAAATATCGGAAATTTGTATATCCCTCTTCCTATTCATCATGCCATGAATTGGTTTTCTGCCTCCGGTTAAGAGAAGATGGATGGAAATAGTAACCACTAGCGGCATTATTAATGAATTGGAATAGTAACTTATTTTAAGTGGGTAATGTTGGAGTTGACTGTCTCTAGTTTGGTGGTGCAAACTTGAATTACGGCTCGTCATCTACCGACATATCAAAATACAATTCCATTTTGGATGAACCTAAAAATAGTGCTCTAAGGTAAAAGGCTGACTAAAAACTGGCACGATGATCGCTTAGCTGATAATTGTGGGTCAAGCCATTCAAGTCAGAGCATGAAATTGTGCTGTTTAAGAGTTGTGACTCACGATCTACTCCTTTTCCGGTGCAATGAAGGCGACTTAAGGGAGATTTTGGTGTCTCCGGCTTGTGGACCCATTATGGGTGGGGAACTGAAAGTGACAACAAATCAAACAAATTCATAAAAGGCAAATAACCGTGGCGGTCTACTTCAGGCACAACACATGGTCCCATTCCAAGACCATAATCACATAAATCCCAATCCACTGAACCCAAGAAAAGGCCCACCACTAATGTAGCTTTACATGTGGTCACGTGATTTCCTAAAGCTAACGCCAAAAGGCAATATTCGTTTGGTGAACTTTTGGCGAGGGAATGCGAGGGGGAAGGGAGAAGGTGAAATAGTATTTCTACCTTCTTCCCCGGCCTAAAGTTCAGTACAAGTTCACCCTAAGGATAGGTTGCCCGAATTTGCAAAAGGAAGAGGGACATTCTTCCCGCTTTTTAATCTATGCCTTCGTGTTGAATCGGTAGGTCCTTGTCGGATTCGAATGGGTTTAAGAGTGGTAACTAAAGAGTTCCATCAATCGACTAGTGAGCATCTAACCACTTATCGTTGGCGCTGTTAAGGCGTCAACATACATAAGTTCTTGAGATGGAAGCCGTAATACACGAATTCGTGGACACCTACTTGCAAAGACGGTATGTTGGACCTCAAACACAATAATGCAACTCTTATGCCTTCAGTGTGACACCAAAAAGGGTCGTAGTTCTTATAATGAAACGTCTGATCGACGCATGACAAAAGGATACAGGAGGTCAGCTTCTCTGTACCACTGAACACGACACATAACGTGGATGAGTTGACGAGCTTTGAGTGACAAAACAGAGTACAATTTTTTTACAAACGACAAATTGTAACAGTCTTACCTCTCAGACACTAACTCACCAATCCACATTGCATTTAATACCATTCATTTTGCGTAGAGAGAAAGTCTGCCGGGTTGGAAGATAAATGTCATCATTCAAGTTGGATGATTTCATGGAGGAGCTAGAAGTAGGTAAAATTGTCGTGAGTTGTTCAGTGATTTGCTTTTCTCTGTCATCCGTGACCCGCTTCCCACCCTTCATTCCCATTTTCTTGACCTTTACGGAAGGAGATGACGATGATGAAGTTTCGCTGTTCATTTGGCGCTGTAGTCGCGTCATAGAGGGACAAATGGATATTACAGGAGGAGGTTTGATAGCATTTTGTGAGAAGTTAGGAGTCTCAAGCACATTTAGTGCCGCTTCAGCTTGGATCTGAACAGCCTCCCAAGCGGTTTCCTTAGCTAGGTCACGCGCCAATTTGTAGTGCCAGTGCGATAGCTTGTACCGGCCTGCACGCATAAGAGCGTATCCCAAATTGCAATGAGCTTGCGCTTGTCCTGCCGTATTCTTCAATGCACCTGCCATGGAGAAAAGCTGAAGACTTTTACCTAATTAAAAAGACTGCAGTAGTTCTGTGGCTTCGCACACCCATTAAGGAAGGCTAGAGATAACTAAATCGCATTAGCTAATACTTTCCAAAAGTCTACCGCATTAGTTATGCCATCGCCTGAAAAAAATCTCGGTTTATCATCTGGTCAAGGTTATCATGAATCTAGTTTATTTTACCAAAATCAACCAACGTGTTTACAACAAGGCTTGGCACAACTAAGAGGCGTGGAGAGCTCATATGAAGGCACCTCACATGCATGGCATAAACCCCAAGTGGGGAAATAAGGATAGCATATGACAATGGTAGTAAAAGTAGACTTCCGACATGGGTGACTTATCCTGCTTACCGTAAGCAGCCACGGACTGCTCTAATGCTGAAATGGCCTTAGGCAATTTTTTGGCGACTATATAAGCCGAGCCTAAGTTTTGAAGAATAGAGGCACGAGCATCCGTTTCGCCTTTGGGAAGACTTTTTATTGCCTTCCGGAAACAGGCAATGCTGTCATCCTTAAGTTCAAAGGCCAAGAATGCCATACCCAACTCATTGTATAAAATGCCTAAAACATAAACATTTATTCCCATTCAGGAGGGACATTTTCCATCAAAAGATTTCTTCTTTCTTTTCAGTAATGCTTCGAATCGGTTTCGAGATACAACACGGAAAAGGGTAGTCGTACAGCAGCATCTAGTAGTAGTTGTGGCACGTTCCTACAGCGCACAATCATCTGATGCACATGCAAGGGAGTCAGTCTATTACGCGTGTCAATGCCAGTAGAAAAGTAAAAAAGGTGCACACACATAAGACAACGATCGAGAATGTCTATATTTTCGCCTACGGTGAGAATTTCAACTACAAATAACGTGACTACAACAAAACTGCCAGCCATGGTTGCGCACTTCACATCCATTCGACATTGGGGTGGGAAACTAAAAGCTCAAGGAACTTGATAGAGTCGATTGATCTTAGGAGCATCTCCATACCTCTTTCAGATATTTTCCCAACCAATTTAACCATGTCCAAAGCTATGGAAAGGGCGCCTAGAGCGGAATCCACATTTGCACCAGTTAAGTACCATCGAACCGCACGAAGTGCCGAAAAACAAGCATCCCGAATGGAATTGCAATCTTCAAAGGCCTTCTCCACCTTAAGCCATGCAACTGCAGCACCATTCGCGTCTTCGTTTAGACATTCTAGAGTAATAGCATACTGTTTGCACAACTCAGCCAGCAACTCTTTCGTTGCTTTTGGCCACTTTACAATTGACTCGGAATTGACGTACGATAACCTCCGTTCAACTGATTTAATCAGCAAACTAAGGCAATGTGCTACATTTTTCCAATCCTCAACTTGTTCATAGGCCTTCGCGAAGTAAAGATATAGCCTCTCCCAAAGCGAGTACGTATCACACTGAGATAAATGGCTTAGGTTATCTGAAACTTCAATAAGCATCTGTATGGCTTGAACGGGCCTTTTTCGAAGAAGTAGCTTCTCAATCCTTTCGCATTGATACCGAATAAATGCAACTTCGTTTCCTGTTTTGGGAATTGAGTTAAAAAAGCCCTCAACAATCGTGGACCCATTCGAATCAAATGAGCTGAGTGTACTCAAGGACTTTGCAGTTGGTAAATCACCATCCATTCCACCGGAGTCATCAATATCAGCAGAGCTATCCATTTAGAGAACCAATGGGCTACTAAACTGTTATTTTGATGTTTCTTCGCACAACCTAACAACGCACACCCTTTTCGGACGCTGACTTAATCGCTTAAGGTAATTTAAATAAAAATCAAAACAAACTTTTATGCTGAATCTCACTAAAAGCATCACATAAATTTCGCCCAGGGTATTTGATTCTATAGGCAAATCGCAGATGCTTTCATCTTCGAAATGACTTCCATTTTTAGCTACGGTTGATAACTTGATGTCGTGCAATGCCTTTAAATAACCGTAGAAGGTGCGTTCGATGTCTCGAAGGCCGCCGAGGGCAACTGTCAGGGGAGTGTTTGGTTTGTGCCTATCCATAATTCGTTAATTATTTTGCCAGTCCCATCGCGGTACCGCTCTGCAACACAGGAGGTACTGTACCTTGAGTGGTATCTTTAGGGTACAGCGACCATACAATTCTTCGAACGTGTCCGCTGTGTGTCCATCCACTTCATCCCCGAAGAAGGATCAGAAAGGTTTCCTCGATATCGATGTAAATACACGTAGAAAATCTCTTGTTTTGGGCTTCGGTAAAATGGGATGTCATTATGATTGGTGCATTTTTTTTCCTCCCATTCTTTTGTCAGGCGACAATTTTGGCATTGTATGTGATTTCATTGTGCTTGTTCCTGTCCTACGATTGCTGGGTTTAAACTGGCTTTTGCTCCGTTTTAGGATTCTGTTGCGTCGGTTATTCCTGTCGATGCAGATCCTTCTCAGGTCACGAAGTCAGTTTCTGGATTACATCGTTGTAGGTCAATGTCGGACATCAGAAGAACTCGAGTCACTCTAACAGATTCGGAGATAAGACTCCGATCCAATCTAGCTGCTTGGACGTTCCTCCTGGAACACTCTAGAAAGGCGGTTGAGAACCAAAACAAACAGGAAGAAGTGCGGTTTGTCAACTTACAATGCACCAATCTGGACTTTCACGTGGAACTTGTTTAATGTGCTTCTCATAATTTGGTTCATCCATTAAACTGCCGACTTACACCTTTGACACTGGTCAATCACTTTCCTGGCGCCTTCCATTAAGAAGTAGGATTTATTTTTCCCATCCTTCTCAGACAACTTATTTGCCAAAGTGATACGTTTAGACTGGCTTACCTTTGTCTTTTTACGAATATTTAACCGTTTTTTCTGGCTTCGGATATCCAAGTTAATTATCATTGTGTTTGCAAAGATGCGTATCTGGAAATGTATGCAAATACTTAAAATTGGATGTTTCAGTTACTCATTGTGATTCTTGTAGACTCTTCGAAAGTCTATTACGGAAGCCCATGATCGCGAAGCATGGTTAAAGAAGTGGCTGAGAGTTCAAAAATCTACCGAACTACAGGTTGTTTTTATTTTAAATTCTGCTACACGTATTTCGACCCGAGGATGTTATTTAACTGTTTGACTTAGATTAAAATCTATCAACGCCTGGTCGAACTACTGGAAGGCGAATCAGGGATGACTGATCTTTTGCGGCGTTTTTATATCAACCATCTTCTGCCTGTTAGTGATCGTCTTCCTCTCGAGGGACTCACCTTGGGTGACGACTTTCAAGGTCATTTGGCAGCGGCTTCTCAGGCTGGAGAGGAAGTAATTTCAACTACTATTTTGACTTATTCTCAAATTGTTTCTAGTTGAATCCCTTGTCACTATCGATTGTTGTCTGTTGCATACATTTGGCATCTATCACGGTCAGGTATGGATCAGTGTACCATCATGGTGCCCTTCATTTCACCTTTGCTGTTTTTCTCTTGTGGTCAATAGTTCATTTTTATTACATATTGTATTACATTGCATGGAGCGACCTGGACTTTAAACTTACTTGGCGAAACGTGGTCATCCCACTGCCTTTAAGTTCTACCAGCTTGCTAATCTCTTTATGGCGTTCTCAGTTTTACTTTCGTAGCATTGCTACTTGCTACTTGAGCTTCGTTGCACAATTCTTTTCAATTAGTTCGTGGCTGCTGCTGCAGGAGACCTTAACGCTCTGGGCATTATCGCATCGCAGTTGACTGAAATGTCCCGTGCCATTCTCTCCTCTACCTCCTGGTTGGGCAACAAAGAGGTGGTGACCAAGTTAACTCAGGCCTGTCGGCTCTGCCTCCGCCTAGCTTCACTTCGAACCTACAGGCTGCAACGAGAGATGGCACAACGACTTGGTGCTATTCCGTCCTAGCGTAGCGACTGACTGAACACTTGGGCCACCCTAAATGCGTTTACATAATTGCTTCCATGAAGTCAACTTTACGCTATGTAATTGTACTTCTTCTCCCATAGTATGTTTTCTGACCAAATATTGGATGTGGTCATCTACGTAATGAATTTCATGCATGATGTTACTTCGGCTAAAATGGTGCAAAGGCATGCTAACCTCGAACAGAGGTAATGGCAACCTGATAACCATGTGATTGGTTTCTGATCCAAAGTAGGCCATACTTGGATTAACTGTGGGTTAATATACATAGGGGAGAACATCTAGTTATTCACCCGAAAATGGAGGCTAGTTTCTCTTCGACTAACGGTAGTCCTTTTTTGGTAAGCTGAGAATACGCTAAAACCAGGCATTATTCCGGCCTGCTGCATGTTACTAACGGAAAGGAGGGCCGGAGGGAGTGCTAACTAGAATCTTTGAGTGAACAACTTGTAGATTAAAATGGCAGTCAGCAAGATGTGATTCGGCTGCATGATTCATAACGCTTCTTTTCCGCTAATGTACAAATGCATGCTTGGATCGAGTTGTAAAACTAGGGCGGGACAGCAGCAGCAGCAGTGGAAAGTAGATTGAGCCTCTCCACCGCCTTTACTAGTGTATTGATTTCCGAGGCCTCCGTTTTCAACATAGTTACTAGATTCTCCACCTGGGCAGGTGACAGCGATGACGCTTGCAGCCCTCTTGACCTCTCAATCCGTTCCAGCCCAGTGCTGACGCGTTGTTGTTCCCGCAACCGCGTTACCAAGTGGTCGTACTGCAGCCGAATATTCTCCAACCACCCTAACAAACCCGATTTCAGTCTATCTCGCAGATTCTGCACGCCGCTGCGCATTTCCAACTCCGCGTCTGTTAACCCTGCGTCGATGCCTTAAGAAATAGGAACAAATACCAAATCAGAAGTGAGTGCACACAACGCTTCTATCCCATTCATGAGTGGGTGAAGGCGAAAAGCGTCTCAAAGGGCCAACGAAAAGGCAAATCAAGATCGTGGCAAAAGAAGAAGAAAGTCGAGTTAGTGACTCACTGTAAATGCGTCGAGCAAGCTCTGAGAGGCGATTGTTGAGGGCTTCCTGTCGCTCGAGGATTCGCGAATGGCAATCGGCCAGACGGGCAGCACCAGTCTGGAGAGCTTCGCGCTGCGCTGCGAGTCCAGCAACCTCTTCTGACTGCGCCGCCAACTGACCCTCTACATACTCGGCATACCGACACACCGACGCCGCTAGGCCTGCCAATTGGCTTAGCTGCGAGATGCGTAGCCTATCTGTCGCCTAAGGCAGTGGACGATACCAAAACCATTACTGATCTATCATCGCAGTGAAAATATACACACCCACCCGAAGCAAGGGAAGACAAAACGTTTTTAAAACTCCTAGAAAGAAAGGCCAGTTCTAGGGAAAGACGAAAACAAAAGGACACTTACACTAAGAAATAGGCGAAAAACTTTCGGTTCGGAGAGGTTAACTCCATCATCTAGGGATGACAAAATTGGCAACCTGGAGGATTCAGCAGCTTTGAGACTGCGTCGACATTTCTCCACAAAATCAGATTCCTTGGGACTAAAATCAGCAGAAAAAAACACGGGATGGAGGAGAGTACAAGATCTGCTGCTTTAAAATATGTCTTAAAGCCATAACCTGTAATTGCACCTTGAAAGGTTGGGAGGAATCTGCTAAGTGGAATAAAACTTAAAAACTCCTATTCATGCTATTCGAAGTAACCCCTTGCCGCAAAATGAACAAATCTTGCACATAAAGAATCTTATAACCTTGTAAGCTACCTCAAAAAGAGGCAAACTTACCAACAAGAAGATGACTTCGGTGGTGGCTTGCAATCCTTCTCTTCCAAGCTTTGAACCCACTGTTCGCAGCGTACAGAAGGCAAATCGCCAACAGTGTTGGACCGTGAGAGTGGTCCGCAAAGCAGCGGGACGGTCACAACTTCAGGCTTGGAAGGGAAGACAACGGTGAGAGCGGGAGTAGTGTCGGTGTCAAAAGACGACTGTCCAGAGATCTTGTGCGGCAGTAGACCAATTATTGCTCGACCTGGACTTCTTGTATCGTAGCTCTGGCTGCTAAGGCTCTGCGTCAGCAGGAGGTACTCAACGGTGCACATGTTTGACCGAAGCTTTTCCAGAAGATCTAAGTACGGGGACGAATAACTCATTTTCAACAGTAATAAATTGAAGCGGCCATATGCCACTACATCGTGAGGCCACTTATGGTCGATGATTGGATGGGCTATCTATTTCAAGTGCTTCTAAAAAGGTTAAACTAGTAAATTAGGTGCGTTTTGATGAACTACAACTCTCAAATTTGACAGATTGATAAATTGAGAGACGTTGATGATAGGTGGGTAAGTAGATACCTAAGATAGGGTAGTGGCTTACTGAGGATATTTAACTAATTAAGAAATAGTAAATAAGAATCAGGGCTAGATATAATTAAGCAGGGCTTTCTTTTGCAGACATTTTGACGTTAGAATCAAAAACCAGCACTCTTTTGCCATAGCGCCCTTCATTCGTGCTAGCAATAGTTTGGGTAGAAGTTCCAGCCACGTGTTTTACCTCCAGCAGTTTCCGACCAGAGGGGACAGTGACAATACTAAACGATGACAAATACAACTCACCTGAGTTCGAATTTGTTTCGATAAGTGGAGATGAGTAGAGTCCACGGATTATATTCACCCAAGGAAGGTTTACCTGATGAATGCCAAAGTCGTGAAGACAGAAGTAATTGTTGCCTAGATCTAACGGAGCTGTATCAGCCCTGTGAGACCAAAGGAACGAGGAAGAGACCAATGCCAATTTCAGGCTTGAGGATTCAACATCCAAATTGGCATCGCTATCGTCGTCATAATTCGATGAGGTCGCAAAAGACTTGTCCAAGATTGGAAGTTCCAGATCAGCGCTGTCAATAAGGAAGAGGATAGGGACCCCACGACCTAAATGCAAAGCGAAATAAGCACGACGTGAAAGGACTGACAAAATGATTGTGACCAGCTAAGATAGACCCAACTCAAGCTAACTTAATGTATATCAAATAGGCTGGAGGTGAAAACATTCAGTGGTTTATCAAGACATCGATAACCCTAACTACACAGTTCTGAACGTCACCTATTTGTGACCCATGGAGGTTGTGATCGCGTATCACAGAATTCTCAGCTGTGATAGATAAGGAAAAAGATGTAGATTGTTCCCCATTAAAGCATTACATAGTTGCCTACGGAGTAGAAGTGCAAATGCCAAGCCAAGTACCAAAGCATTAAATACACAGAAAGCATTGCAAAATGTTCTCACCTCATAATGGTGTTAACCACATAAAAGGTATTCAAATTCGGGATTTCGATTCAGGCTGGCTCGAAACCCGTCAATGTTTAGGCCACAAATTTATTCAACGATCAAATCACCCCCACAAGTGGCACAGCTAATGGGAATGAGACACAAAGCCGGATGATGTACGACTTTACGCTATTCGCAATTTGCCGCAATCAAACGTCTAAGTAAAAAGTGAATCAAGATACGTATAGTCAAGGCATTAAATTTTCGGCAGTTATCAGGCCGGAGAAGTCTTGTATGCATAAAACAGCATAGAAGGCTACGCAACAGGGGGTCAAACGAAATACCTTTCATTTTCAACCGTTGATCGTGGGATTGATGCTCCATAGAAAACGCATACTTGGACAAAAAATCTTGCAATGAAATATATCACTTGAAGACAAATAATTGACTTTATCGCAAAACTTATAAATAATAAAACAAGAGCCACTTTCCATTGCATATTCGACAGTCATTCCGCCAAGAAGTCAGCAAACATTCCAAAACTCACTCGAACAACACAACACACGCAACAACAGTGAAAATGCCAATCAACGATTCTTCAAACACACTTTAGTCGCTCCTCAATGCATCCAAAATCAGACTCATTTCCTTAACTCCCCTCAACCTCCCAACTACTGTGGGGGGCGACATCATTCCCACTCACACCAGCTCACACCAGCCACAACCGCGTCAAACACCTACTTTGTTAGCTAAAAAGAAAGCCCTGCTCCTATGCACCATCTGTAATAAAGGGCCCGCCAGCACCCTCATGCAGGTACCACCCAATTGTGCGCCGCTGAAACCAGCGTGTCTACCCAAACCTCCATTGTAGCCATTATCTCATACTGCTACCTACACCGCGCTACACGTCACATATACACATTCAATGAGCATTTCTACGGTCGCATGAACATCAATGGTTCCTACAACACTCGAGTGACTAAGGTCGCGCCCGCCGATGAATAATGCAAACTACCTCAGCTCTGCGTTTTTTATATGCTACCTCCAAAATCTGCACGTACCACTTCACGACCTTGGACAACTATGTGAGCGCATGCGACGTATCGCAGGCGTGCAACATAGACATTTGTTTGATTTCACTTCCGCAAATTTCAACGCGATTATGAAAAGCCTGTCGTCTTGAAGATGTTTTGAGCAGAAGACTCCGTTATTTTGTGAAAATTGACTGAACTAGAGGCAGCAATTGTTTAAGATTCGCATGGCATGACCAACGTCTCTAGCAGGATTTCTGAAAATCGTTCAAGCTGTATAGATTTACATGGATCAAAAGTGACAAAAGAACCTAACCTTGAGGACGACAGTCGGATTGCAGCAGTACGGATGGTGGAATGTGCAAACAAATGCCGTGAAATATTCTTCCAGCTCTGTTGGCGAAACAAACAATATCTGGTTGGTTTCCGCTATCGTCTGACCGAAGGCATATGAGCGTAGCAAAGTCAAATGTATAATAATCCTCGTTTGCAGGGAGAATTCGAACGAAGCGAACTAGTGGTCTGTTGATAGACATGGGCGATACGCTTACCAACAATATGTCACCTAGGAATAGAGAGGAAATGAATAAAGTTCCGTTCTTTAAAATACCTACTTTTCAAAACCGGGATTGAATTACCATTTTCACAAATGACATAAATAGGTACACGGAGAGGTGCGTCGTTCATGAAGCGCGTTTCATCAGAGAAGAAGGGAGAGCCGAAGTCAAAGTCACAACATAAGGCTCCCATCGCTTCGCCTAAGTTCAGTCCTCGCGATGCCTTCGTTTGTCTGTTTTCCTTGTCCGCATGGTCGGGTGCTTCAAGAAGGTGGACAGTAAGTTCGTTTTCAAACTTGAGAGATCCACCCGAAGAACAGATGCAGCGACAAAAAAGAAGTCTACCGTCACTGACCAGTATAACAAGCAGGTTGGATATGTACGGATGCCACCGAACACGAACCAATCTGCTTATTGTGACAGAATTACCAGAAAGGGAGTCAAAAACCGTCGCAAGCTTTGCAATAATCTTGACCTAGTCAAGCGACATAAATTCATACAAGCATGTACTTGTTCGGAGTGTAAATGAGACTCTGTTTTGGAAATGTCAACGACGTGAACGGAAGTCTCCGTGAGTATGGCCAAGAAGTTTCGGTCGGGGGAAATTACCATGGACACAGGATATGATGATGGCTGTGGTGTGAGAAAGAATGTCTTCGTTCTTAAGACATCGTCCTTGTAGAATACGTGAATCTGACATGCTTTACCATTCAAAACAAAAACGCGATCATGGCATTCTGCAAGACTTGTCTGTTGAAAAGAGCAGTACCTTTATTAAGCCCATATGGATTCTTTACGAAGTGAATGACTTGAGGAGTGAATGATGACTTGAAGGCGACGGAATCGACATTTATTTCGGACACCATCCTACTGACCAAAGTACTCAATTCCGATTCCATCTCGTTGGTACAGCCTAACCCAAAAAACTTCGAGTACAGCGCTCCACCTACCAATACTAATAAACAACAAGCATGTCGTGCTTTAGCTAAAAAGATCATTTGGCTCTTGTCAATGCACAACTGTAAATATATTCGAGTCATTTGCGATCGATTTATGTTCCAGATTAGTTATTTCCTTGAGTAAGTTTAGTGCACGGTTTGGATATACCTAGCAAATTTTCTCACGTATCATTTTAATAAATGCGCCAATTATTAGTCTGTAAACCCCAAAGGGTTTATCTGTGAATTTTTCTCCTCTTTGATTAAACTATGTCAACCTCGTATTTAATGGCATAGGAACTCAGGTTATTTACTTCGTTATCTTCTTTCTGATATTCGAAGTTTTGGTCATCGGCACCGGCCTGCTTTTACTCCACAAGGGTCACTATTGAGGAGTGCTCGTGAGATGTACGTCTCTTTAGATTAGTCGTCGTGGTACTTCTCGTAACCTAACCTTATTGTTAATATCGGTAAGGAAGTCGGTCGACGATCAATTCTGGGTTTTCGAATCCGTCTCTCTCATTAAGGTTGTAAACATGTTTTGGCATGGGTCTTATAACCATGCAGAGTTCATCTGTATTCGTGTTTTCATTTCTGTTTTTTCAAACGTTACTTCTACTTGACGACTTGATTATCATATGTTTTTTGCGCATCCACTAGCATAAATGCTAAAGTATTCAATGCGCGGCGCCTTGCAGGTCCTTTTTTTGACTTTAACGCAATCTTATTTATTTTCTTGAATCCATGTGTCGTGCCCACATCCCTTATTGTTGCCTTCTATGTGTACTATCAGTTTTTCCATATTCCAGCACTGTGGGCATTTCTATTGCTCAGTCATTTATTGGGTTTCCTTCACAACTTTTGCTATATCTTTCAGAATGATGCACCGAGCTCTGATTGCAGCCACTTGGGGTCTAGTCACACACAATGTGAACCAATCTTCTATAAAAAATCACAATGGCAATGGTTGTACTTATCTTCTTCGTGATGTCGTAACTACTGCTGATCAGATGGTCGAAGCCTACAAGGTTAGACATGGTAGCGACCATCTTCATGTTTTCTAGGATATCGTCGGTGCGCCTGGGGTCTCTGTCTCTGTCTCTATTGACGGGAACATTGTTTACTGTAGAGGTTTGTCTTGCCTAGTCCTAGTTGATTCAGCATAGAACGCTGTGTGGATCCAAACAAAACGGTCCCATAGTTTCAATTCTCAGTGCCTAACTAGAGCTGAGCTGCTTAAAAATCCCAAATTCCCATGGTTGTTTGCAAATCAAGAAAATTAGGCTTTTGGTTCTTGGCCTTCGTTTAAGTTGTTTGTTAAGTACCACATCACTGTGAATTTATGCATGCACCTTAGATTTTTGGCGTTTGCATCATACTCAGTTATGTACTTAAGGTTTTGGATTTGCTGATGTGGAGCAAGGCGTCAAAGTAACTCCACAAACCAAATTCAGGATCGCGAGTATTAGCAAATCTTTCACTTCTCTACTTGTCGGTCGTATGGTTGACCAAGGTCAGCTTAATCTCGACGCAGACATAAAGACCTACTTGCCAGGCTTTTCTCCAAGGACAAAGGAGGGGAATTCTGTACGAGTCTTTAAACTTGTCTAAAGGCATTTAGGTTTCAATAACCATGCGGCAGCTGCTGAGCCACACAAGTGGTATTCGCCACTATCATAAATCGAAAGATGAGAATGACGATGAGGTAGGCGAAAAGCTTTGATTTTTCAACTTAACCAGTATACGGGGGAGATGCTAAGCACTAAGGCATGCGACTCAGCTCTGGACTCCTTGGCCATATTTCAAAACGACGCGCTGTTGTATAGGCCTGGTGAGGACTATCTCTACAGCACTCACGGTTTTACGGTTGTGGCTGCGGTATTGGAGGCGATAATGAGCAAAAACTACCCACACTATTCTCTTTTTGAGCGACCAGATCGTCTGAAGGTGCCTACTGGGAGCGGGATCGGAAAAATGCCTGAAGAAGTCAAATCATCTTCACTGTTCAAAGAACTATTTAAATTCCTGAGTCTTCAAAACACCTGCTTAGATGAACCTTACAATATCGTCCCCTTCCGTGCAAGGTGGGTTGCTTTGTCGCAGTGCCTTTTTAAATTTAAAATCTTCAGTTTTAGTCTAGTTTTGCTATGTCAGTGCTTTACACAGTTGGTGCAAATCTTTTCGGTGTGAATTGGAAATTGTTACCTTTATTGTGAGGATTTTGAACTAGGTAAAAGTGTAAGTCTCAGTTACTTGCAAATTGGCTTCGATTTCATGTAAAAATTGTCTGCTCTGCATCGCATGCGTTCATGTGGTTAGCCACGACCGTGAAAAGTGTTTGCCATATTGAGGTTGTGGAATTGTTATGTGAAGGGTTGGAGATGAACCAATGTCCTACTTGTACTATAAGGCGTTAACTCCTTGCGTGACTTTATTCGACAGCATTAGATGTTGACTTGCTTTTCCTTGTAGTAGTGTAGGTATTGCTTTATTTCTTCCTAATGGCTAGATCTTCCTTTTTTGAGGAACTTCCTTCAAGCAATCAGACAGTTTGAGGTACTATCAAGTGTTCAGTGGGTTTTCATAACGCCTTTAGAAGGAGGGGATCACAAATGTGGTTTATGCAGTTTATTGTTTGTCAATTTTTTATCTGATGGAATGAGATGAGATTAGCGTTGTTGTTTTGATGTTCTTCCATATTTCTTCCTCCCCATCTGATTCAAAGGTGGTCTTTGAATCATTTCACCAGCATTGACACTAAAGATTACTGGTCGGTTTTCATGAAAAGCAGATTTTGGGCGATTAATGCTGGTCTTTGCATGAGTTTCAGCAGTAGGATGTTTTCGTCCCTTTCGTAACAAGATTCGTTACTGAAGCATCACTGAACATTGGTCAGCAGACGAAACGTTAGCTGCTCGTGCTTTGTAGGAATCATTGATGTTCATGGGACCGTAGAAATGCATATTGAGTAGCTATCCATTAATGTAGATGTGAGTGGAGTTTTCTTGCTCTGATGAACGCAGTTTGGTCCAACTTTGAGGGTGTAGAAACCTTTCGTGTGACGTGTAGCACGGTGTAAGTAGCAGTATGAGATAATGGCTAGGATGGAGGTTTGGGCAGACACGCTGGTTTCAGCGGCGCACAATTGAATGGTATCTGCATGAGGGTGCTGGCGGGCCCTTTATTACAGATGGTGCATAGGAGCAGGGCTTTCTTTTTAGCTAACAAAGTAGGTGTTTGACGCGGTTGTGGCTGGTGTGAGCTGGTGTGAGTGGGAATGATGTCGCCCCCCACAGTAGTTGGGAGGTTGAGGGGAGTTAAGGAAATGAGTCTGATTTTGGATGCATTGAGGAGCGACTAAAGTGTGTTTGAAGAATCGTTGATTGGCATTTTCACTGTTGTTGCGTGTGTTGTGTTGTTCGAGTGAGTTTTGGAATGTTTGCTGACTTCTTGGCGGAATGACTGTCGAATATGCAATGGAAAGTGGTTATTGTTTACGTGTTCCTTTCTAGTGCGACACCTGCCCAAAGTTCGGTTTACACTTCTGGCATCATTACAGTGGGGTGGTGCCGCCATATATACTTTCCATTTTTATAATGTTATGCAGACCTTATCGACGAGCAAAGAAAAATGGACGTTTGGAGAACTCTCCCTGTGTTAACAACTCGTGCAAGTGGTCGGGCGGTGGCCTTCTGTCAACAACTCCAGACCTAGTGAAAATGGCCAGTCACTTGGCTGACATCTACATGGGACGCCTTTGTGACCTTCCACAGCTGGCTGTTGTCTCCCGCGACACCCTTGTGAATTGTCTCTGGCACCCTAACCGTGGAACAATTCAAGGGCTGTGGCTCCCTGGCGGCCTCTACGGTCTTGGGTGGTTTGTTGCGAGGCAAATTATGAAGTGTTCATTAATTTGATTTCGATGTTGAGCATTGGTGTGTCTTTTCTGCAAAACCAGGTGTTCAAACTTGTCCTTTCTCTTTGTCATTATCTCAGTATTCGCACTTTGCCAGAGTGAATTCAATTCGCCATGGTATACTTCATGGCTATATATGTATAGCGCTTATTTCTAGACGTTCGACCACTCCGATTGACAAGGCAAAAGACTCCACTCACTCCGACCGCCTCTATGTGGGTCACACGGGAGGAGCTATAGGTTTTACCTCCATTCTCTTCATGAGTCTGCCGATCGCCGCAACATCGACTTCGGATGAAAGTGACGACCCTTCCTCAGCCTCCCATCTACCCCCAATTTGCGTAGCTATTCTGGCGAATCTGGAGAATGCGAAGGGAATCGGCCAGCTCGCCATCCATTTGACGGAGTTATTCACTGCGGTTCTTCTCACTCCTCATATCTGGCCGGCTGCACCAATAATAACCGCTGAGGGACCCCTTTCAGCGCCACCGATAGCAATTGCTGCTTAGGATCTCTCGACTTGCCTTGCACTTTATTTTCATGCGTTTTCTGGTTTTTTAATTGATCCTGGTGATTCTTGCTCTTCTTGGCTTTTCCAGAATAAATGAGTTATCGAGCAATATATTGTTAACTTTAAGAGGCTGAGGATGGTGCTACGAAGATTGGGTGGTTGGGGGCATGACTGTAAACTCATCGTACTGACGATGGGGATTGGTAACACGCAAAATATGGGAGTCAAGGTTGGGGAAATTCTTGAGTGCAGCTTAGGTTTCGAGTCAGTCCTGGTAACTTCCATCGTCACTTCCAATTCGGTTGCAAATTGATGTTGCAGCTAATGACTCAAAGGATGTCGCAAAGTTTATTCTGTCTAGGTGTCTGAAAGCCAATTTAGTATGAGGTTGATTTGAGAGGGTGACCAATTTTACCATTACGGGAAGTGAAAGCAGTTTGCTTGCACTTAATGTTTATCAACTGAGTACTTATCTCTCCGTCATAGCTACATATTTAATGTAACGATATGTTCTCGACTTTGGAAATTATGACGAAACAAAATGTATTATATGACTAATAAGCTGAAACTCTGCACAGTCATCAAAATCTGGCCTGCAAAAGCATCGGTTGCAAGATTTTACCCATCAGCCACGCTGCGCATCTGCCTTTTGAATCGATTTCTCAGATCTACTAAGCAATAAGGAACATAACTGGCTCCTACACAATTCTATAAATTGTAATGAATCAAGAGAGCTTTAACACCCAATACCATCTAAAAGCTTTACAATACTTCCATGAAATATGTAAGCAAGCATTAATTTTGCATTGACGCCATCCATTTTCAAGGATACATGTTTGTGAGTTTTACTTTGTCTTAATGCTAAGACTTATACCCGCCATACATAAATGAACTCCTGGTAGCATTGGTCGACTTTTTGGAAGAATGGGAGATGTCAAACTCGCCAACACTGATGCTGAGCTGCGGAAGAAACTAGCAGAGTTGGAGAAAGAATTAATTGAGGGTTCGCTCTTAATTCCATATTCTACGACCGCCGTTTTCTATCCAGAACTTGTTGATCTTGCTAAGAATGTAGCAGCTGCTTTGAACTTTGTTTCTCACCCATCTTGTCATCCTGTGTGTCTTTCACTTGGAATTTTCTGGGGATGCGTTTCTGTAGCATTGAGTTTTGCATTTATGTTCTTTTATTGTTTTTTTGAATTGCATTTTTGCTCGGCACGGATTTACAAACGTTTATCGCGAAACATATGAATTATTATTAATTTCGCATTCACCCAACTTTTTTAGCAGCATCAGAGTCTTGCACAAAAGACTCGAACCACTCTTTTGAAGCTGCACTTTCTCTTTCCCAAACAGGTGATATTACTGAAAAGGGGTATCAAAAGAAGAAGGCCAAAATTCTGGAACAATTTCACGTTCATTACTATGAAAGTATGTTTTGACGCCTTTTACAGGCTGTTTCTTTATATCATGCTCTCATTCTTTATTTTGGAAGCCTCATTTGTGCTGTTGATCTGTAGCATTATTGTTAAATTTTACAGTAAGCATGTAATTACTTTTAAAACATTCCATCAGTATTATTGTTGAATTGATTGAATAGTAGCTAAACTGGGCCGTCAATCTATTCGCGCATTGTGCGACTGGGGAAATCTGTTTGAATTTTTGAAGAACATAAGTTATTATCACTCAATTGAGCCAGCCAAGTGTATGCTCTACCACACGCTAGATACACGCGATTCGGGCTTCGTACACTCTTCAATCCCCCACTTGTCCCCATCCGGCAGTCGACCCGACTCCCCCGTCGCTGACTCCGCTACTCCCGCTCTTCTGCGCCGTTCATCCCACCACCGATACGCGCGTGATGAAGTTCGCTACCGATCGGGTATTTTGTTTCCTTCACTACAATGTGACCTCACTTTCTAGTTTAGAGGGCGATTTATGTTCGATCGGTTATTGGGCGACTCTAGGGCCTTTTATTTGTCATAGCTGTGCTGCTAGTATTACAAATGTCATCACTGTAACTTATTCACACTGCAGTTTCATATTTGAATTAAAGTAGTAAGAAATGCATCAATTGTTAGCTATCCGTTGCATTATCTTGTAAACGAAACTTCCAGACAACACATCTCGTCCCATTATTAAGCAGTTCAGGCCTATTGTCAACATTGCTCTACGTCGTACTGATTAGGTTCATAAAAATTTTTATTTCTGGGGCTTTGCTTTGGGCCCATCCTTCTTGAGAGTCTGTTTTTTGTCTTCGCGCTCATGATAAATGGAAGTCATTTGTTATTTTTCTGGCTGGTTGTTACCAGTCAGTCAGTTTAACAGTCCTTTCTTTGTGCAGCTGCCTCGATAGATGGTCTCTGCTGGAAACTTATTGTTTGGTGGATGAGTAATACACTTCATTTCCACTAGAAATTCGTGAAGAAGCAGTTAAGGAAGCCCTTCAAAAGGAGCCTCTTATCTGCTTGGAGTCTCTCCGTCCCAGCAAGCGTCGTCAGCAAAACACCTGTGTCCCTGAGCCTGGCCCTTCTCACGCACGAAGTAAGTTTTCCTTCTCATTTAGTTTGTAGCCTTCCATTCCTACAATCCGATCCCCTCCTTATTCTCTTAACTTTGCAGGCGAGAGTGAGTCAGAGGCTAGTTTGGACACATCCTCCCAACAGTGCCCTCAAACTTCAAACCTCCTTCCCGTATGTTCGCCACAATTTTACTTTATTTATTTTGGTTTTTTTTTAGTTTTAGGCGTATGCCTTTGGAATGAGGTCCCATACAAACATTTGAGATGGTGATAGAGAATGCGTTTTGCATGCTTGCGGCACTTGATTTAGTCGAGCATCCAAATTTGATGAGTGTTGTTTATATTTTCTTTCGATTCCAAACTTTCTATGAAGCCAGCTCATAATAAATCATGGAAACAGGATATCTAAATTGTCCGTGATCACCTGAACTGTGCATTCCCACTGCTACTTCTGTTGGCATATGGGTTGGTCACTGCTACAGAGATGACTCATCATCCACTATTTTCTCTGCTTTGTTCAAGCCACGCTTTCTTGTATGCACACGTACGTAGTCAATATATTGTGGTCGAATATTTTGATCTCTGATCGAAGAGTTCGTCTTTGTTCCAGGGAACTTGCATGAAAACAGAGGCTTACTCTCGAGAGCGATGGGAATTACCTTAAAAGCAGATAACCGGGAATTAGGGAGCACAGAGTGTTTTCTTAGTGTTTTGCTTATAACTTGAACTTTATAACCTTTCCTCTACACGACTGCAAATTTCCTCTTTTAGCAGCAGCAACAACACCAGTTCTTGGAAAACGCCGATGTCTTTCACAAAATGTCTGATCCCACACCCGTCACGAAGTTGTCAAATCTGCGCATTACGGACGGCACAACGCCCGCTATCACCCCATCCACTACCGCCATCTCAGCTTCAGCTGCCCATCTTCTGCCTCCCACTGCGGTTCTACGCGCGCAACAGCACCAACACTCCTTTACTGGAGTGGAAAATATCCTCCCCTTAGGTGAATCAGAATTGTTTCTCTTTTTCGTTGATTATAATTTCAGTTTATGTATTTTGGAATTCGAAAGGCAAAGGCTTACAAGGATTGAAATAGCATCTCTCGTGGCAACTCTCTTATAAAACTATTCTGAAGTCTGCTTCTCAGGTCTTCGCTTAGAGGAATTGCTTGGGTGGTACGAGTTTTGGTTCCTAGAGGAATCCATGGGTTCAAGTTCTGCCACATTTAACGCTGCGGCAGAAATTTCCGGTCTTCCTAAAACATTTTACTTGTTAAGCTCCGGGGTGTCTGTTCTTTAAGAAATGTATGTCACCCCAAAATTAAGAGTATCCATACTTAGTTATTATCAGCATTTTCTCGGCAAAGTTGTTCTCGTGTGCACGCACTTACCATGCTACTGCAAAAGATTAGTTGTTCGTTGATGTACCAAGGTGCGATTGCTTCCGTTGCGATCAAGGCACCATTGCAGTCCAAATCATCCCAAACGTTTTTTGAAACTTCTAACAATCAAACCTAAGGTTGAATAAACCAGCGCCCCATCACTGCTTTGCTTGCAATTTTCTGTATGAGTAAAATAGCCATGATTTTTCATTTAACACCTCTGGTTGCTGGAACCCATCATTGTGTGCATGTACATGCATGTCTCACCCTCATATCATGGTATTTGATTGGTGTGTAAATTGTACTGTCGACCTCATGAAGTGCAAGACCACATCTGGGCTTAATTTGAACACTCCTGGTGCTTCGCAGGAGCACCAGTTTCATTATCTCGTGCCCATTTCTCCATTCTGATTTTGGGTTTTCGTGAAGATGCTCTACTGCACATGATTGTAGTGGTCTGTGTATCCCACTCTGCTGATCAAAAGTTGGGGAACGTCAATGACGCCAACATTCTTTTGCGTTAAAAAGAGCAGCTTCCTGATTAGTCTACCGCTCCCTTTATGTGGGCAAAAGACTTATAGGCGCATTCTAATGTTCTCCAGCAGACTTATTTGTATTGCAAATAAGGGCGTTTTGGGGCATAATGCGTCCCTCTTTCCCCCGTCTAATAGCTTCTGCCATAAAACGGTTTTAGTGAAGATGCTTTGCCAAAAAGTGCATTCAGTATGGTAGAGGCTTTGAACGCCCAGCAAATAGGTTGCATTAACTTGGAAACCAGTTGAATCTCCGCTACTTTTTTTAATCAACAATCTTGGATGGGCGTTTTGCTCTCTTGACTGATGAGGATTTGTCCGGACGCCTTCAGTTGCATTTACTTGCTGTTTTCTGTCTTCCAGTTTCTTCTTTCATGTGTCATCGAGAGGTGTCCGACGTATGATATCAGATAAAGCTGAGGATGTTTGTTTCTCTGTACCCTTCTTTGTATCCTTTAATAAGTCCAAGTTTGGCAATTTTTAATCACAGAGAAGTCTCAATCATCTAGGCTTCGTGCTGGCCAAGTTTGATGCTTAAAGGTCTGCATTACCAAATTACTTAACGTCATCGAAACTCAGTAATTAAAAAAAATCATGTTCTGATCTTCCTTGGATCCATGAAATCCTACATTTAACAATCGTCTCTTTGGTTCGTACTACCCTTTAAACGTGATTGTGTGCACGTTTTCCAGTATTAGCACTACGCATCCCATCTTTTCTATGCCCTTTAGGCACATCGCGTTAAAACAAGTTAGCTTCGCCCTTAGTAAGTCGACTAACTTATTCCATCAACCTCTTAATACCGGTATATCTAACG